CTTTGGGGCAAGGACCAAAAAGGGCAGGTGCTCAAGCTCCCCCAGCCCCCCCCTCTGCACGTGCCTGCTAACTAGCTTGTGATCTAACACAGTGTTGCTCATTTTTTTCACTGGGACAGGGGTGAGGGGTTATAGGGGGTTAGAACTGCTGCTGACTGACTCATCTGTTGTTAAGTGTAGTAAAAGGTTCAGGGATAAGTTAAATATATGAATATGTTGGAAATGTTTTTTTTTCTCCTAATTCACTAAATGCTCTTGAAAATAGTGACACCCACAAAATAGAGATATTCAGACATGAGGTGGGTGTAAATTTCCTTTCCTTTCCGTTTTCTGAAAATACAAACAACATCCATAAGTCTGACATGCGTCACACTAATGGCTGCTATGTCCTGCTGAGCTTACGTTCTCCAACACAGATGCTAACTTAGCTGCTGTCTCGACTGAGATGATCATATTTCCATTATTAATACAGCAACACACATTTTATCCTATGAAACTTTACAACTTCACGTCACAAACAAACCATTTTAAAGTAGGAAATATTTATGTATGTGTTGTCAATCTATTACCATGATTTGGTCTTTAAATTGCTATTCATATTACTTTATATTACTATAGCTAGTACGATTATTACTAGAACATTTCCGAAGAAATTTAAACAAGGCCTGCCAAAGTGTGCCTGTCGGTTGGAACCCACCTTTCTGATGCTAAAAATTAGCATCAATGCTAAAGTAAGCTACAATGTACTCATTAGCATGTGGAGAGTCAGAAGTATGTTGAGTAAGTTGAACTTACACCTTTCAGAATGTTAAAACTAGTGCATAAGCTAAATTTTCCCAAAATGCTAATGTTAGTCTACATGCTGCCGCTAACACCGACCGCACCCACACTGGCACATGTGTAACTAGTGTTACTCATGTGACACTAGTAAGTTGTGTCATATTGACCTTCTCCTTTCAGTATGCTAAACATGGCCAATAAATAAGAAAAATAGCTGAAAGATTTTTGTAGGGAAAAGGGTAATGCTGGTGCACTGCCCTGCTATGCAAGGCGGTGCATAATAATAATAAATAATACATTTTATTTATTATATAATAGTATGAGCCAAAATAATATTTAAAGAACAAATCATACTAAGAGATTAACAGTAAATAAATACATAAATATTTTCTACATTAAAAAAGTTTGTTAGGGCTTTCTGTGTATTTTGTTTAGAAAATAATTTTATTAATTCAATGTTCAATGTATTATTTCACTATTATTTTATTAATGTGGTTTACCAGTTTGAATAACCTGACTTCCAATCCATGAAGAAAAAACATGCAAAGCAAAAATACACCAGAAACAGACCTGCAGCCCACGGGCGGTTCTAGGGGGGGCTCCACAGGGGTACTGAAGAAATTATACTAAATAAATGTGGTGGATTTATTTAACTTTCACAATTTTATTTTTACAATGAATTAAAAGTTCTAAGCTACCTCTATATACTCTATGGATAACCTTTTTAACAACGAACACTGCCATAAAATATTGTCATATCACTGCAGCGGCCGTCCCACCCCATGAGAGTAGGATGACACATGCCATTGTGGGTGTCCCTTATCCCTTATTTTAATTTCTGAAATTAGCATATATAATCTCTTCAGCCCGCCCCTGCTTGCAATGCACTAGTATGCACTGTTACCATACTGCTAAAAGAATGATGATTTAGGTGATAGAACCTGTGTCATCTGTTTGTTTTTCTGACAGAGGACCAGATACCTGCTGGTTTCCCCAACATAGACATGGGACCCCAGCTGAAGGTTGTGGAACGAACAAATACAGCTACGATGCTGTGTGCAGCCAGTGGAAACCCAGACCCTGAGATTTTCTGGTTTAAAGATATGTTGCCTGTGGACATCAGCAGCAGTAATGGGAGGATAAAACAGCTGCGGTCAGGTGAAGTAGTCTTTTCAACTTATTCATGCACATTTTCATATTGTAATTTATCAAAAAGGGGATTTAGCTGCAGCTTTGATGAGTGTTTAGTGATTTTAAAATGCTCTGTGGTAAGACCGACCTTTCTCTCAACACAGCTGATGGTAAAATAGAGGAGACACAACGATTACAGCACCAGACTTAATTAAAGTCTACGGAATTATTTGATGTGAGCATCAGCATGTAAAATTCAGCTTGACTTTAAGCAGAACTCACAATTTCATCAAGGGGTTTCTTTCTCAGGCATGAGGTAAATGTTACACAAATTTATTTAATAAGAAAATAAATCTTCAACCACTTAATATGGAGGGTTTTTTTTTAGCAACAATAGATTTATTTAAAAAACCATAATGCAAAAAAATAATTATAGTTATTCTGATAAATAGCAGATCAGTAGCCAAAATCCCTCAAGAATAATATAAGGTTATATTTAAATCACTCAAATGATGTCAGCACGAAAAATAAATAAATAAATAAATAAATAAATAAATGTCCCAAAATTTCAGTTTATTTTAATCATAATAGAGTCTCATATCCTCAAAAACAAAGTCCTGAAAATATTCCCCAAAGTTCAAAGTCCCAATCTAAAATTAAAAATCCAAAACGGCAAAATCCTCCCCCAACAACAGAAACTGTCCATAAGTCTGATATATTTATCTTTTAAATTATTTAGTTTAGTCAAAAGAAAACAAACATAGTGGTTATGTTACAACCCCCTTGTTGTAACATAATGAATGAATCTTCATTTTAAAATGAAGATTCTTTAAAACATTTAATTTTGAAAAATAAAACAAATTTCAATATTGACCAGAACAGCAGACAAGGCATTTTTGGGACACCATATTAAAAAATATATGTTGAAACCAAGCCCCAAAACCCATTTTGCCCAGCCTGCTGTGTGGTCTTAACAAGCTCAATGTTTTGTAGGGGTCTGGGACTGTCAAATAAAGATTAGGCAGCAAAAATGCTTCCAAAGATAATTTGACCGATGGAAAAGATCACTGAGAAAAATTTTACCAATGGTTACTTAAAAAAATTGTGGCAACAAAGTGACACGTAATATAATTGAATAGAATTTAAGTTCTACAATATTGATTAAAAAGTATTGAATATGTTAACTTAACTTAAAAAAATGAAGTACATCTTAATAAAAGCAACAGCTGAAATGGGGTTGATTTATTAATATCAATGCAAATGATCATTTATATTGCCCAAAAATATTTAGTAAATCCAAGTCAATTTTACAAGAAAAACTCATTTTTATTTACTAAGTATCTGAGCAAAAATGATGTAGATTTATTAAATATCTGGGGGAAATTTAATCATATTTATTAATAATCTAGGTGAAATTAACTTATATTTATTAATTAAATGGATGAAATTGATTTACATTTACTAAACATCAACATAAAAATTATTTGGATTAAGTAAATAATACAAATAATATCAACTCATATTGTAGCACATTATTGGTTAATTCAACACATTAAAACTGTTGTTCTTATTAATCTGTAGCTAAAATAATTAATCAATTTTAAGTTTTTATTTGTATCATAGCACTTTAAATCTATTCAATAATATTGAATGTCACTTTGTTGCCATAATTTTTCTGTGTCTAATTNCTAACGCCAGAATAAATGCAGTGTACATTATGCAGCAAAGGAAATTAGCAGACATATGTCCTTTATGGAGATGATCGGTTTTGGACGGGCGATGTGCCTCTATTGCATAAGCGATACTGAAGAATGACTGATATCATTAACAGTACAGGGAAGAAGCTTTTCAGTTATCTAGCTTTGCTAGCAAAGTTGTAGCTAGCAGCTAGCTAATAGCACAACAACAACAGCCTAATGTTTGTATGATAAAAATACTGAATCCATAGATAAGAACAGTTTTTCCTCACCTGGCTGAGGACCCCTCAGTAGTTCTTCAGAGAAAGGCAGACAGAGGTCTGTCAGTGTGTGTTGTATTTCATTACCTCTCTGCTTAAACCGCTACTCCGTGCTGAAGCAGAAACGATACAACGTTCAACGTTTTCCTTCATCTGACAAGTAGCAAGTCTACTCCACTTTATTCACCAAAAACGTTTTTATATATATATATATATATATATATATATATATATATATATATATATATATATATCACCAAAAACTGTTCTGTAATCTGGAACGTTCGCTATGCTGAGCTTCAGTTAGCC